CCGGCCCCCCCCCAGCCGCTGGCCGAGCAATTCTTCTGCTCCTTCTTGGTCGGCATTATCCTTAACGTCGCCGGCTATCCGACCACCTTCGCCGAACCTCTTGCTCCTCGCCGGCCTTGTGATTCAAAAACGTCGCACTTATAAATCAGCGAGTAGAGCTTCAAATTTTGGGCTCTCCTCCGCGTTTCCGTCACTCCCGGTGTGCACCGCCAGTGAACTAACTCCTCCACCTCGCCGTCCTACCTTCCCGGCGGCCGAATATTTCGCTGGAGCACTTCGACGTCTCTGAACAGCGAGAATCGCCACTGTTCAAGGAGGCGCATGCATCTTTTAACTTGTGGGTTCCCCTCCTTTGTCGTTGTGGAGCAGCCTCCCTCGCGAAGGTATATTTTGGTTATATTTTTATATGTCAAAATTATTATTTTTTGTAGTCTGGCTATCACTTCTTAGGTCTTTTTATTGTCCTATGCACGTTCTACGAGGTATACTGGAGCATAGATCGGACGTCGGCGAGCTTGGAGCAAGCAAAAATATGAGTCTGCAACCGTCACGGTGGTGAGATTTCTTGACTCCTAGTTGACCCTAGATTTTAGTAGTGTCTAGGCGTGTGTGTTCGATCGCCCACACGAGGTACGTGTGCCGGCATGAGCCAGCGCGATGATGTACCTATGTGATTGATTGTTAATTTAACTAGAGTTAGCCTTTAGGTTAGGACTGCCTATGCGTTGACCAAGTCCTATACGAAGTCGAGTGATTTCCTGTTGTGAGCCTTAAGCCTTTAAACCCGTCGGGTTGGAATCTCAATTTCCTACGGTTTTGGCGCTCATAATCTCTCCTTGAGGGATTAGTTGAGTTCGATCTTAGAGGACGGAAAAGGCTTCGTAGCTAGTCCATCCTAGAAGATCATCGGTATCAGTAGAGCGGAAAAAGCTGTGTAGCTAGTCCGCCCTACGAACGGTGGAGAGTTTCCCCTACGAGAAATTGGAAGGGGAAACCCTCCACATTATCACGCCAAAGCTGGAGGCGGCGATGCCGTAGATCCAAGTGCGTCAGCCCTAGGTTCCTATGCGAGGTCATTAGGACGAGTTCGACGTGTCGTCGAGCGGTTGCGTTTCATTGCATGTGCATGGACCATTTGATGCATTTTGGCATGTTGATCATATTGCATGTCATATGCACAATCATTTGATCACTTTGGTTCGACCGGCCACCCTGCCCCCGGTCGATCGACCACTTTGGTTTGACCGGCCTCCCCGGCCTCCCCCCCGCCCTGTTCCCCCTGCCACTTTGGCTCGACCGGTTATCATGTCCCAGTCGACCGATCATTTGCATGTTATTGCATGTTATTCATGATAATATTTCATGTTGCGCA